GTTTATATAAAAGCTTATCTAAAGTCACATTCTGTTCTTTGGCTCTGTGGAACGTGGAAGCTATAAAGACCTTGCCCGTCACCCGAGTCCTCTGTTTAACTCTATCTTCAGCACATGTCCCCAAAATGATGTGGTGAGGCAGGCTGTTGCCTGGCCCCCGAATCAGGAACCACCTTGTGCCGAGCGTTTCTCTAGCTGTTGGCTTGTTTGTTTGCCTTGTTCGTGAGGGGAGCCTGAAGCCACCTCACAAGTGGTACAATCATATCCTGCAGATTTTGCCTATGTATTTTGCCTAAAATTTCCAGGTGAAGGCTCAAAGCCATTCTTCCAAGGCCTCCACAGACAACGAGGTCAGTGGCTGGATAGCTCATTACATTTATCCTGGCAATTCCTTGCTTGCATTTTCTTGACCATTTTCCAGCTGTTCCAGTGTATATGAATAGAAAACATGTCCCCATCTGCCACTTGCAGTGATAAGCTGCATCCTAGAAGCCGTACACAGATGGAATCGCACTTTGTTTCCAGAGAAGGCCGAGTGTGTGCCACATGCCATTAGGGCCACTTGAAAGTAGGCTAATTACCTGGCAGACATCGCTGCAGAGCAGACTAATAAAAATGAATGGGGTGACAAGGGAGGGACTCCTTGCTATTTTGGGACCAGCTCACTCCTCAGGCAGCAGATAGCTCCAGCGGTAAGGCTCCCAGTCTTTCATTTATTTTGCTGTTTCTTGGCTCTAACTTGAGAGAACTTGAGTAACAATTCTGGAACTGGTCTGTTTCCCAGTAATAGCCCGTAAATCTGTTAAATTAAACAATAAAGGCAGATGTGGGCAAAAATAAAAATCCCACACAAGTCAGAAATTAAAAATGATGTTGCTTTGTCAATCCACAGGTATTGTTCTAAAACCTTCTGAAGCTTTTCTGTCTAGTTGTTCAAGCAAGAGGGAAATGTTCCGGTAGATGCCACCATTTCTGGAACCGGTGATTACTAATTACACAATTACTTTATTGCATGAAATAGTACACACAAATGTGAAAACTGAGTTAAAACATACTTACACATATTTTTTTCTCTTCAAGGTCTGAAAGGACAACACAAACATTTGTCACACCTGTGAATTAGACTGAAAAAACCCACAAGCCTAGAAAAGCAGGGCTCTTGAATACCGGAACTGTCGTCCAGAGCGCTGTGCTTCCTCAGCTTCCACAGATTTGAATGGGGAAGGAGCTCGTGGAGTTGTGGTGTTTGGCGTTTTGCAGGGAAAGCCAAGGATAAGGTAACACTCCTGCCCTCTGCCTATCTTATAAACAACCAATACCCCATTTTTAGAGTTAACTTCCCCTCCCATCACCATTTTGTCTTGCCAAGGTGTGCCTGTCCCTAACTTTACATAGCGCTTCCATCAATGTCAGTCTGCTCGCCGTGTATGACACTAAGGATACCCGTATGTCTCTGTAACATTAGTGTCTTACAAGGCCATTCAAATTCAGTGAATCCGTGTGCAGGAATAAGATGATTTCACTGCAGTATAACTATTTCAAACTAAGTCATTATTCTTTCAAAATGCAGATTTTTTTTTCTTCAAAAATTGAAAGCAGGAGTTAATAATAATGCCAAACCCTGTCTTGTGTAGATGGCAATCAATTGCAGAAGGAGAATTTCTAAATATCAGAAAGAATGTGCTCATCTAAACTATCACTCATGTTTTAAGATGGCCAGTGAAACCGTTTTATTACTGCTGTTAGTTGGAAAGAGCACTATTCTGCAAAAATCAGATAATGTACTTATTTCTAAATGCCTGGAACAAAAGAGCCAGTAGAGATTTGCTGAGTACTTGCAAGATAGCCATTAAATATAAATATTTTTAAAAACAATTTACTCTTCCCTAATGCTTTTAGAGCAGCATGTGGGAACAGAGTCTAAGTGCAGCATCTTACTGCATTAAAAAGGACACGCTGAAGGTTACTGGGCTACAGATTTAACCCTTCCATCTCTTAACTGCTCATAACAGTTCCTAACCTATATAAATGATGTGAGTTTATATAAAACTCACCTATCTGTCCTAGTGGTAACAAAATATTTTTTAAACAACTATTCCCAGTGATCCACACTTCTCACATTCCTATAGAAACTAACTATTTTTAGTGGTGAATTCAAGTTTAAATTTCCATTCCTCAAATTAAAAATAGCAGCAGAACCGGAAATTTCTTTCTCTTCATCCAGAATATGCTTTGTAGATGGAAAAGGCAATTGCTTTGTGGGGCTGTACACGTATAAATGATGCGAGTATTTGTATCACTGGTTTGAATAAAAATGTATAGCTCGGTTAGAAAGAAAAGAGGCTGATTTTTGCTCCAAACTCTCTGGGTCTTGCTCCAGTATAAGGAATAACAGAATTTAATTCTGCTACTCAGGAAGCAAAGTGTCATTCAAGGCCTTGACCCCAGCAGCGCACCTGATACAGCACAGCCCATTGCTGCCACGCGGGAGGGAGACTGCCTGACCCATGAGCGCAGTGCTCGTGACGGGGCACGGGCCAAGGCTGACACTACCAACAAGGGCCTTTGCAAGGTGGCCGTCGTGCTTCGGTCATCCTGAGGTAGTCCTGTAGCAGGAACTGCACTGCAGAGCACTTGGCCGGGGCTTCCTCTAGCTCCATTCTGCACCTCCACGGCCCAAAGACAAAAGCACCGACCTTTTGTGGCGGCAGTTTTTCAGTTCAAAGTGCCTGAAGTAACAGGCAGGCCTGCCAGCAGGGTGGGTTTTAGCACGATGCTGAGGATGCTCAGGAGCGTTAGGCAAGGCTTATGGGGATCGTATCAGAGCACTGTGAAGGGCTGAGCAAGCCAAAGCTCATGTGGACTCATCCATACGGCCTAGGGGTAGGCGATCCCTGGAGAACTCTGTCCCAGGACTTTGGGTATCTGATTGACCCCGGAGGAGAACTGAGGAATGAAATAACACTCATACAGACAGGGAACCAAGGACATGAGAGCAAACAAACACCTTAAAAAAATCCTTCTTGATTCATGATACTTCCACATTTGGAGTTGTAGTAGTAGGTAGGATTCATCTGATCGGGGGGGGGGGGCTTATAGGGACGTTCCAACACCTGAAAGGGCCCTATAAGGGGGCAGGGGAGGCTGTTCACAAGGGTTTGTAGCAACAGGGCGAGGGGTGATGGTTTTAAGCTAGAAAAGGGTAGATTGAGGTTGGACATAAGGAAAAAGTTCTTTAATATGAGGGTGGTGGATTGGTGGAACAGGTTGCCCAGAGGCAGTGGAAGCCCCAACCCTGGAGGCACTCAAGGTCGGGCTTGATGGGGCTCTGAGCAACCTGACCTAGTTAGAGATACTCCTGCTTATTGTAGGGGGGTTGGACTAGATGATCTTTAGAGGTCCCTTCCAGCCCAATGCATGCTATGATCTAAGTTAAGACATCTAAGTCTGAGCTAAGCATTTTAGGCTACTTTTACTGTCAACAAAGGAAAAAAGGCCCATCCATACAGTGATTCACCTGGTCTTTCTTAGATGCCTGTTTAAGGGTGAAGTGGATGAGTCTTCATGATTTGGCTACATGGAACTTCAGAAAAAATATCTTTCCCAAGAGGCCATCCCATGTTGATCACCACGGATTGATACTGAGGCTGGTATCATTACTATCACCAATAATACATCCTGAGCAAATTTGCAAAGGATGCGAAACTGGGGGGAACGGCCGACCCACCGAATGGCCCAGCTTCAATCCAGAAGAACCATAACCTAAGGAGAAACGCAAGGTTCTGCACCCGGGGAAGAATAACCCCAAGCAGCAGGACAGGCTAGGAGCTGACTGGCAGAGCAGCAGTCCTGCTGACACTGGGCTTACAGTGGATGCCCAACTGAATACGAGCCAACAGTGCACTCTCATCCCAAGCAAGACAAAACGCTCACTGAGCGACGCTGCCTGGCTGAGAGTGGCCAGCAGATGGAGGGAATGTTTTGTTCTCTTCTGCTCAGCACTGGCGAGGCCACATTTGTAATACAGTCCAGTTTTGGCATAACCAGTACAAAAAAGATGTGGAGAAACTGGAATTGGTCCACTGGAGGGCTACCAAGCTGGTTACCTAGAGAACGTGACCTACTGGAGGAGGCTGGACTTACTCAGTCTGGCACAGAGGAGTCTAAGTGTGGTCCAGCTGCAGCCTGTGACTGCTGGAAGAGCGTTACAAATATAATGGAGCTGAAGTTTTCTCAGTAATATCAGATTACGTAACACAGGGCAATGGCCAAAAAAACGCTGCTTTGAGGCTCAGACTGGACATTAAGAAAAAATACTTCATCGGGAGGGTTGCACGGTGCTGTAACAGATTACCCAGAGGAGCAGCTGAATCCCTGATGCTGGAGGTCGTCAAGACTGTAAATCCTGCTCCAGTATCAGTAAAAGCCCAGCTTTGAGCACAAGGATGGACTTTCCAACAAACACATCCAAGATTCTGTGATAAACTGAATACATACAGCCTGAAAATTACAGCTGGATCAAAACACGGCCAGGTGAGAATCTCTGCTGAAGCCCACAGGCAGTGGCTTTTCACAGGGTGCCCTTTGCAAAACTGAACACCCCCAAGCCATGCTCAGCCTCACTGGGGTCAACAGCAAAATTGTCTAGAGCTGGGACAAGTGGAAAAACAGGACTGGCTGAGGGAGACAAAGCAGAGATACACACAGTTCATCAGCAGATATGTTCATGAGGAGCGAAAGGCTTTTGTCTGTAACTTATAAACAGTATTGGAATCCATTACGCTACATACTACCATCATCTCTGGAACATGTCCAGGCCCTTTAATTCTCTATTAATAACAATAAATGGAAATTCTCATCCAGAACTACGGGACAGGTACTGAACAGGGTGATCTGAGCTCTCTCTCAGTCTCTGTGATTCCCTAAGTAACCTGGGACATGTTAAACTGCATTTTGCAGCACAGAGTTCCTTCTAAAACCACAGATTCAAATTCATTGCTAAAAAAAACCCATTTGGTTTGATTTTTCGTAACATTTATTATATACTTAGAATAAATTTATTGTGCCTTTAGCATTACGTAAGAAGAGAAATTTAACTTTCAGTAAGAACAAAAAATGTAGTTCCCAAAGGCAACTGCCTAAGAATCATAAAGCACAGCTAAGGTTAGCTTAGGAACAAGATTCATTTCTTCTCATCCTGACAGTGTGACCAGACAGGCTTACGTTTCTGAATAAAGGCTTCAATACCTTCCTGCCCGTCTCTCAAAGTCAAATTGTCTACCATGACCTGAGTGGTCATTTTGTAAGCAGTATCGAGGTCCTGTGTCATCTGTCTGTAAAAGGTGGCTTTCCCCAGTGCCAGGATGGATTTGCTGCTTTCACATATCTTGTGAGCGACTTTCATGGTCTCTTCTTCCAGCTTGTCTTCTGGCACCACCTTGCTGACAAGCCCGTGCATTAACGCTTCTTGGGCAGAAAGAGGTTCACCCGTGAAAAGCATCTCTAGTGCCACCTGAGCAAGAAAAAAATGGTATTAAGTCAATTCAACCGCCTTATTGCTTTAGTTTGTTTGGGGAATTTCAGCTTCCTCCTTAAAGTACAAATTACTCTTTTGACAAACTAAAGATTTAAATCTTTTGGCCTCTTAAACTGCCAAGGAAGCGTTAAGAGGTTTCAGCAAAGAGAAGGACTAGGTCTAAGGCTGGCTTTTGTTTCAAACCTGCCCACTGATCCCAGCTGGCCTAGGCTGACACCTCTGCGTTTCTTTTCAAGAGCCCACAATCTCTAGTGACTGCAGCAGGAGTTGAAAGAGATGTGGAGGGTCCACGGTGCCAAATGACTGAACTCGCTATTTTAAGCTGGCCACATAGTAATGAATAAAGAGTCCCTGTGTCAATGTGTGGTTTTTGAAAATCCCTGCCTTAGTTTTAAGTTTGGTCGGGGTGTTTTTAAGTATGTCCTTCTTACCTATTTCAGTCTCCTCCTGCATCCAGCATCTTGTACTTTCAAATTAAGAAATCCCCCAAATACTCAGTGACTATGCAATGTTATATATCAATAAGATTTTTTTCCATGAGTCCTGATACAAGTGACCAATGCCTTGAACCATAAGAGCTGATTATCCTCATTAGTATCTTTGCTCTGGTAGCTACAAACAATGGCAACATTTCATTTGACAAAAGGTAAAACCAGTAATCCCAAAAACTGTAGGGAATGGTCTTGCTATTTTGAAAAATGGCACAGAGAAAAGTATATTCCACACATTTTTAAAATGTAATCATAAACCCCAGAAATACTAATTCAGAAACAGTTATAACTGTACATTATAGCACACTTGGAACCCCCCCCAGACAGACTATATTTGAACAGGATGGCCTTACAGATGGGAAGTTCAAAGCTGAAGCTCTTAGCCAGCAACTGGACTTGTGCCATTAAGCCACTGCATCTCAGCAGAGCCCTGCTGGGCCCGGAGAGTCTGGCTGCATGAATCCAACTGGATCAGAACTTAAAATTTCTTTTCAATTACGGAAGCTTTACAGCTCATACTATTGTTTATGCACTGAGAGATGTGTAGTCACAATCAGTAGGAAATAAAGAGGAAGAAAGTATCGGAGGGTTTTAGACGCTATTTAAAGCATCTTGATCTATACACAGGCAGATCATGCTGGCAGTGAAATGTCGCTGCCTGGCAAGAATTGATGCCTCAGTGGGACTGACATCCTGAACTTGCAGGGGTTTCCCCATGAGAGGAGAACACCGTTGTCTAAAGCACAGAGCTGTCTGCTGGAAAGGAAAGGGATCGCTGAGCTGATGTGCTGCTGGTATGAGTTCATGCTGGTTGGAATCGCACCAGTAGGAAGCTACATTCCCTAAGCAGAGTTCATCCCTTTATTATTTTTCCCAGTCCGAAGAGTTACGAAGATGTCTTTTGCAATGAAGTATTTTGAACGTTGTACTGCAGGAAAATAAAGTTTAGGCAACGGAACTAAAAATCCTAACATAGGAACCTATTTCTTGCAAAATTACAGAGTGTCTGGGAAGGAAGCCTACCTTTCTTGGAAGAGATCTGGCCAAGGCCACAGCTGGTGTGGAGCAAAACAATCCAATGTTTACTCCAGGTGTAGCAAATTGAGATTTCTCACTTGCCACTGCGATGTCACAGCTTGCCACAAGCTGACAGCCTGCTGCTGTAGCCAAGCCATTTACTTTGGCAATCACCGGTACGGGAAGTTTCTGGATTAAAGTCATAACCTGCGTGTACAAAGGACAGCGGTCAGTCAGTCTCTGAAATTCAAGCAGTGGCTGTTCTCAAACTGGCAATTGCTTCACACACCTGAAGTCAGCGTTTTCCAGCTTTATTAGCTGGCGTCTAGTAAAAGAAGTAAAAACTGCAAAACCTGTCCCAATGCACAGACCACTGCTGCTCCAGTTCCTGCCCAGCTGTGTTTATGTAGCACGACCGGTCCTGCCAACTCCAGTGGAGATGGAAAGCCCACGAGTGAAAGGCAGAAACCCTTGTTACCAGCTCTGCATGGAGCCCGCGTGCCCCTGCACGGCTGGTCCAGCGTTCCCGGCTGCGGGACGACGCCTGCCTGAGACGCACCATCCCCCCCTTCCTTTGCCCCGCAGGGGAAAACTGACTTCATAAAAATCTCTGTCCCAAGAAATTCAACCAGCCTCTTGCTGGTTTCCACATGATCTCGAGCCTGGGTTGATCTCACCCAAACACTGGATGTCTTTCTAGGCTTACTCTGCATTCCAGGGAGAGACTTACCCGCCAGGAAACAATTTTTCCTATTTGTATTAGACATAAGATCAGAAAACGCACTCATTCTGTCTCTCACCCTCTCTGGTAATTCTTGATGGTTGGACATCCAACTTCAGATAGCTGAAGTTAAGAAAAATGAATTTGTCTTAACTTCTCTACCTCAGGTTTTCCTTCCATACAGTGGGAATCAACAAACTCACCTAATTTTAATGCCTGAAGACAGAAAATGCTAGTGAAAGGATTACAGTCATTATCTGGATTAAAAAAAAATAAATCTCATATTAGCATGGTGTAGCAAGGTAAGAAATTTTCATCTGCTACTTCAATTTCTCCAGTAGATGAAGTCTAGCAAATTTTATGTTGCTTACGTAAAACTACTTAGGTTCAGTTTTGAATTTAATTGGTCTTTGTCTCTCTACCTTTGTTTAAAAACAATTTTTCAGTGGATCTTGAGAAGCAGACAACAAAAGAGCCACAATACCTGCACGTGTGCAGACAAACAACTACAGGGAACTCTTGTGGTTATAAAAATTGAAAGTCGGCTGCTTCTCTGAAAAAAAACCCAACCCCAGTACTTATGGTTCTGTATCGGAAAAGCCTCTGGAGAAGTGCTATTCCCCGCTGTCGCAGACTGGTAGGTGGCAAGTATTTAGTTCTCAGCTACTGCATTATGCAGTACTGCTACCACTGCTCCGGGCGCCGGGAAACAGAGGGGTAGCAGCTGAGATGATCTGCTTACGATCACCAGTCGCAGACAGACGTAGAAGCTAAGGTTCCTGAAAACCAGTCCCACGCTCTGGACCCCCTAGTCCACAATGCTGTAGGCAGGTCAGTTAGGGTAGGATCCATTCCAGCTAAGTACTGAAATTCAGGAAGACATGATGCCATTTTGGAAGCCCTCAAAAGTAGCCTTCTCTCTCTATTGACCAAAAAAAAGCAAAAGTCAACTAAAATTTAGATATTAGTTAGGATCCTATATTAACTCTTAAACTATTAATTTTATAAACTATATTATTAAAATATA